AGGAAGCCGGGGCTCATAACCTGCTGAAGAGACATGTCTCTCTGGAACCTAGCAGACATGGCTAAGAGTCATTGGCCATTACACGCAGTCTGGAGGTCCGCGACCTGCCACCGACAGCCCCTTGCTTGGGCGTAAGCGTATGAGTCTGAGGTGCCGTTACCGGCACACAGCAGGGGCTCGGCCGCCAAGTCCGCGGTCCAGGCCGGATGCTCAACGCTCAGCAGACACAATCGCAGCTTGCCAGCCCTCAGCCTTTTGGCTTTGCGGTCTGGTGCCGCAGCCATAATACACACGGAAACAGCGCCATACAGCACCGTACGCACTGCCTACGGCGCCCCTTCAGGCATCGACCCGCCTGCTCACGCGCCCTTGGCGTCCCCCTCAAAGCCTAGCTCGACACACTTCCCAAAAGCCCCCAGCACTTTCCGGCAAATTTGTCGGCCTGCTGGTGGCAAGTCGGAATGCCCTTGCGGGCAAATGGTAACACAAGCTGGGTGTTCGAGTTATCATACGCACGACCTCAGGATTGGAATATTTGTTGTTGTTGTTACATGGTCGTGGGTGCGTTCCCCGTACGAGCCGAGGGCTCAAGGGCTGCCAAATCGCCTATAAACACCATCCTACCTCGCAGTTCCAACGAAACAAGTAATGAAGGATACTAACGACCAAAGGGAATGATAGAGTTGCGGTGGGACCATATGCGTTCCAGCATCCTTGCCAGGCGTTCAGGTTCCCACTTCATAGCGTCCTTCATATGCTCGAAGCGTGGGAAACCCATATCAGATCTGATTTTGTTGTACACCGGACAGTCCATCAAAATGTGCTTCTCGTCCTCGATATGGCTATCAGTGCCGCAGCAAGGGCATACTCGCTCCTCCCTTTGTATATAACGCCGTCCCTTACGCGCTCTGTTAGCCGCCAATGCCCAACAGCAAAGCCTAAACTGCATAAGCTTGCGGTTCGCTGAACGCGGGATAAACATTGCGATATGCGGGAGCACCTCCTTCCTGCCCGCTTGCTCGGCCGCCAGCCCCATCCAATGCTTATACTTCGCCATGTGAATTCCTGGTTGCTTGCCGTCTGACGGGTACACGTCAGGCTGGACATCTAAACGCGTATGCTTCCAACCACTCGCTAATCGGTCCTTGAAGTCCAAAACCACACCTTCTGGCATTGGCCTGTTCATCAGCCACTCCACTCGTTCGTCTACCTCGTGTAGCCCTTGCGGGGCCTCTTTCCATACGTCGTGCCCCAAAAAACATAGAAAACGGAGGAGTAGCGCCCCCATCCGGCCCCTTCGGGGTTGGAGAGGGACTCTGCGACCTCCTGTCGTAAAACTTT